GCATGTAAAAGAACCTATTTCACCATTCGCGTTATCGGTCCGTTATTGTCTATGGGATCCGAAGCCCAAAACGAAAACGTTGTGGCTAACGGACTGCGGACAGCTCACGGATCGTTTTGATTTCGTACGCAGCTGCGGTTGTATATTTTGAGAGTAGGCCTTCTGTAATTTATATTCATTATCAATAAGCCCAATTTGCAAATGGTCTTATCTCTTAGAGCTTTGAATAGATTTTCTTATCGACTGTATCACAGTCAAAATAAGCTTTTAAGTATCAGGGTTATCAGGTGGGAATAAAATATAATTATTTATTCTTGATACCCTGCATATATTCCGATGGGAATAGAAAATACTATGAAATAAAACGGATCTACCCGGGGGTCTGTTTTAGGAGATCAGATGGGAATAATCAATCGTGAGTATTGAACCTATGGAAAGTGAAAAATGTAAATGAATGCAATTCACTGAAGTTATGGACTAGAGTGCTCTTTTCAAATAAACTTAAATGCTATGGAATCTTTGAATCTTTGTGTGAAATCTAGAGCCATGTGGTCTGTCCATGCATCTTTATGTAACACGTAGTGTTCAATTTTGTAATATGACTTTTTAATTACAATATTTTAATATAATTTTAAACTTAGAGAATCTTAATATATGCTCCAAATATTATTTTCAAAACGTATACAATTCCCCATAAAATAATCGTTTGCCTTAGTTACACAAAATCGTGGTACCATGAGTTTGGACTTAGCTCTAAGGTTATTAGAGCTAAGTCCAAACTCGTGGTACTTTACACGTTTAATGTATCTCTCTTGCCTCTCCATTATCGACTTGGTAACTTATACTACACGCGAAGAGGGTGCCTGGATACCTATGATATAGGCTAGACCTAGTTTAGGCTCTAGTCTCCCATAAATATAAATAATTAGTAGCAGAAGAGCTTCTTGTGAAAGAGTTCGTCGGGGGTAGTACTGCCACCTTACCTATTTCTGCCACCAAGCAGTAATGTCAACATTACTGTGTTCTGGTTTAGAAGGGTAAGGGCGCTGGTGAAATTACAGACACATGGGACTTGTCAAGTTATGTCTCAAGGTGACGGGCGCCGTGGCAGTGCCTCTCAGATCTTTGCGATTTAAAGCTCTATGAGTAGCACTGCAACTGTTATGGGCAGGCGTGTTACTCACCATCAGGCGTACGACTTGTTCGTCCCGTTACTAGATATTATAATCTCAGCGCAGAGTACTAAAAAGACCGACCTCAAAAGTACGTGGAATTACATATAATTACCAAGTTTTGTTGAAATCGGTTACCGGAAAGTGTGCAAACCCGGATTCATTCCCTAGTTTGCCACTATATGGGGGCTTACACAGGAGATAATAAAAATCGGTTCTCACTACTTAAAGTATATTGAGAGAGAAAAACGCATTGAATTGGAGAATAGCAAAATCAGCCATTAAAATAATTGCTGCTTATTATTATATATTATTATATATGCAGTGTAAGCGCTAAATATAAAAATAAATCTTCATGCGTGAAAAGCCACCCTTAGAGGTAGATGATTTTCTTCAAAATTAAATGGGACCACTATGGAGGTACTCTCTTTGCAACAAAAAAGAATCATCAAAATCGGTTCACGAATACCGGAGTTATCGCGTAATATACATACAAAAAAAACATACAGTCGACCTGCACCTTTTTTGAAGTTGGTTAATAAAATTATCATAATTCTAAGTACTTTGTTATTAATATACGTCCTGTAGCTAGTAAATAATTTTGTATTTGTATTAACTGGTCGCAAACTAGGTAATTACCAGTACTACGTGTACCTGAACGTGGTAGGTACCAAGAGATAGGTACTTAAATTTACAACTATTAACGTACACAACGGACAGGGGTGTCGCGTCACTTGGTATAAAAAAAAAAGTAAGAGTTAGTATCTTAACACAATATATTTAAATGTATGTAATTAAGTAATTGTTAAAAAAAGTAAATTGATAATCAAATAAAATATTAAATAATAGAACAACAAAGCACCTACTATACGTTCGAATACTATTTCATCCAAAAGCAATTTTAAACTAGGATCTTTAGTAACATCACAAGCACACATAAACATTATTTAATCATTCCTTAATTGTTTCAAAATACAGGAAAATGTACAATTGTTTCAAGTAACTAGTCAAAGTTATTATAACCTTTTATTACCAGGAATATTCTAAATGGCATGTTTACATTGTAAATAACACATGATTGTATTCGTAGAGTTCGCAGACTAAAACACATACGACAAAACCAACATCATTCATTTAACTCAGTACATGAAATATTATGAATAAATAATTATTAGACATTATCACGTACGTTACTCTGATCCCAAAGTACCTAAAACACTTGTGTCACATAAATCGGAAACAATGGTGGCACCACAAACACCCAGACCCGGGACAATATAGAAAGTTAGTTTTCTACATTGACCCGGCCGGGGCTCGAACCCGGGACCTTCGAAATGGCGACACCATGAAAACCGGTGTGCAAGCCACTCGACCACTGAAGTCGTCATTATTAGACTAAGGGCGCCTGCTAATTTTCATACAATAACAAAAAAAATATGCAACAGTGTGCGACTGTGGCGCTTCAGCTGCGGTTCTAAATATTATATGAAAGTCAGTATTGGCGCGGTTGCAGCACAACTGACGCGCGCGCCACTGCAGCATTTCCAGAAGCGTCTAATTTCAAGGCAAATTTATTTGTTTTTAAGTTGAAACAAATGAATTCTCTAACTATAATGCGACTTTTTCAACCTTATCGTAATCCTTACATCTTCCGATATTATGAACTTTCTTTCTCTGTTTTTTGTTTATTTATTTTCTTAATTACGTGCTTAAGTCCACCGACACTAGAATTACATCGTTTTTAACGGGTAAGCAATAAACGCTCCGAAAAGTAAATTAAAAATGAACTCGTTCAAAATATTGATGTTACTGCGTTATTTATCAAGCTACCGAAAACTTTTGTGCAAATAAAAATGCGGAAACAACCGAATGAAATACTGAACGTTCCCAAAATCTTGTTAACGTAATAATACTCTACCAACTTATTTACATTTTACCAAAAACCATTGTTAACCCATTTCATCGTAAATACACCTATTACGAATTTAAAAACAACGTTATAGGTACCTACGTTTCATAAATTTTGGTGTTTGTCCAACTATTCCATCATACCCATATACTGTTGCTAGTGACAACACACATACATCGAATAATGTGTACGGCGAAAGAATTTATAATGTTGTTGTCGAGCCCGGGATTCGTAAACTCGACTCAATTTTGCACGATTCGGTGGATTAAAACACTCACGAGTCATATCGAGTCGAGCGTGAGTCATCGGAGCACGGACTCGAGTCTAAACCCAACTCGAGTCTAAACCCATCTCGAGTCGTAAACTTTAAACGCTTTGAACCCCAAACTCGACTCGAAGTGGCTTCTACTTTACAACGTCTCGAGTAAGACAAGCAGGGTTCAATTTTACTGAATATCTACTACGAATAAAATAAAAAATAATAACACAATATGGTGCTTTAGAAAAAAGAAGATATTAATACTTAATTATACTACAGTTAAACACACCACACCACCGTTCGGTAGGTACTTAGCAGACTCGAGCTCGACTCGTTACATAAACAGACTCGAACTAGAGCGCAACTCGTTACATAAATAGACTCGAGCACTAATGTCGAACTGAGTCTATTCGGAAACTCGTTAGGGCCGTAATACATCGAGCAGTGAAGTCTGTCTTTATGAGTCGAGTATTGTGAATTGAAGTCGAATCCTAAATGTAAACTCTCAGATTCGAGTTCTTCAACGCTAATTTCTACTTACCTTGTTTCCCGACCCGACTAATGAACAAGTTACTACTGGAATTACGTAATGCCTTAGCAAACACTAATATAAAAAATAAACATAAAAATTTCTTTCTAAACATCTTCAAAAATGGTGATAAATTTGATTGTTAATAAATGTATTTCCCCAATCCCATTTCAGTAACACCTTTTTGGTTATTGATAGATTATTTATTTATAGGGCTTACTTAAATGTTAAATAATGCTTCTTCTGTTATCAAAGTGAACGTAATATTTATTGTGTGGATATAGTGCGCATTATGATGAAACTTATTGGTTTAAAATGTAACACATTTGTTGTGTATTATGTTTTATATGGTAAATAAATTAAAAAGGAAAAGTAGGTTTTTCTTTCGGAGGTTTAGTATATTATTCGGATGTACAGTTTCTTATCGTAGAATTGTGATTTAAACAAGTTCGTAATTGTTTGCGAAATATGATTAATTTTGTCGCTATATTCCATAGATATTATATCTACGGTATATTCTGTGTTTAGTTTTAAGTCTTTTTTTAACACAGCTTAATTAGTAGTCATACTTGTCAAATTGTAAAATTAGCCTTAGTTCGCTGCAATTTCATTTGTTTTTCGGAACAATTAATCGGAACCTTGGAATAGGTAGACTATATTTACCTACACTTCAAGTAATACGTATAAAAGTGGATAAAATCCCCTTCGGTAATCCCGGAATGATTAGTAAGAGACTAAAAATCAAAACAATATAGGCGTATATTACAAAACTTGCAATTACAAAAGTTTTTGTCAAAATACACCACCGTAGTAAATTAATTATTAGTTACACATAAAAAATGTTGACCAAATACAATACAGTAACTGCGGGATTTCAGAGGAAAGGTGTTATCCACTCTGTGCGTATTACTTCCTTTAAGTTTAGAGTTTATGAAATGTACTATACCAGCTCCGATCTATAAAATTTATACTAATTTTTAAAGATATAAGTTTCATATTAAGTATAAGTAACACTGTTAACATATTATAAATAAATTAAATTATATTTACAAGTATATTTCTAGATGTCGTACCTTTTTATAAAAAGAACCTTTCAGATTTACAGAATGCTTCTTCGTAGATAACTCGCAACTATAATAAGGACGGATCCTTTTTAATCAACTCATTAACTCCTTCATATTTATTACCTTCTGGAATATTCAACTGTACAGACGCACCATCAATTTCATACAAATCGCCTTGCAGTGTTATCTGTATCTGCCTTAAACTTTTTCCTCTCGTTTCAGGTACAACAAAGAGTGAAAATATGGACCCAGAAATTCCAAACAAACCCAATATCCAAAATACACCACATAATCCTGTCAAATCTAAAAATATTTGATAACTTCTAGTTACTATGAAGTTCAATAATCCTCCAAATATACATAGCGACGCTAAAGCTACAGCTTTAATATTTAACGCAAATATTTCAGCTTGTATTATACCTATAACGGAATTGAACCCCAATGTAGACACGACGTTAGAAGAAACAATACATACAAACGGGATGAAACCGTAAGAAGTAATTTCGTCACTGTCTACTTTAACTACCTCTAAAAGGAAGAAGTAAATGCCCATTACGATCATGCAAATACCAGAAGTCAAGAAAGAATAAATGAGTAAAGGACGCCGATCGATCCTATCCACCAGGAACGATGACATTATACCTGAAACAATATTAGTCAAATAAGGGTAACCAATCAGAGAAGTAGTTTGGTAGACTAAAATTTGACTTTATCTTTTATAATTGTAGAAATAAAAAGAACATTTCGGTTGCCGGTCATGCGTAGCAGAACACGTGACCGGCATTTACATAAACCTTAGTATTCAAACCGGCATATATACATATGTGTATATTAATGCGTTGTCCGACGTGGAACGTTATATCTTGAGTCGTCTGTGCTTGTGGTTGCGCTGGCCTCCCTATACTTCAATCCATAACACTGTAGAGCTGCTTTCCGGTACAAAATCCATAAGGGAGTGGTACCTACTCTAGCAGGTTCTGAATAGGGAAAACTATACTAAATAGTTAGCAACGTTTGGTTTCTATTATTATACTATGAACGCTAAGCATCTCCCCTGCCCAGTATCACAATTATAACAAAGTATTATATTATGGAAAGGCCTTTTTAATTTTTTGGGCATCATTAAACAGGCTTTTACTTACCAGCAACAAATCTAACAACTCCGAAAATAATGAACAACGTAGGTAATGCCATCTCAAAACGACTTTCCTTAATTATCAATCCCAAGTACTGATGAATCAAGAATTGACCGGCCATTATCTGAGTTAGTTTTAAGCCTGAAAATTAAAGCATCAGTTTAATACGTAATTGGGAGAATGTTTGCCCCGCGGGCAAGTTCGTGTCCCAGCGGGGACCGTACTTTACTGGGTCTTTTTAACCGACTTCAAAAAAGGAGGAGGTTCTAATTCGACTGTATTTTCTTTTTCTTTTTATGTATTTGTGATTCGATTTCCGTGATTCTTTTTTTGTTGGAAAGGGGGTACTTCTATAGTGGTCCCATTTTATTTTGAAGAAAATCATCCACCTTTAAGGGTGGCTGTTCACGCATGAAGATTTATTTTTATAAATCGCGCCTAACTTTAATTTAGGAGCAATTATTTTAATGGTTGATTTTGCTATTTCTCTAATTCAAGGCGTTTTTCTTTCAATATACTTTGAATAGTGAGAACCGATTATTATTATCTCCAGTGTCAAGTCCTGTATAGTGGCGAACTAGGGAATATTTCAATAAGACTTAGCAAATAGACGTAATTCCACGTACTTTTGAGGTCGGATTTTTTAGTACTCTGTACTGAGATTATTAAATTATGTACAATGTGGTTTACTTATTCTAGCGGTGAATGATAACATAGTGATCTGCGTACTGGAGTAAGTCTATAACACTTTTTGAATACGTGTGCCACTCCCAACCAATGTTAGTCCGTTGCAAGAGTTGACCGGATTGTTAAGCTCTAAAACCATTGGCATTAAGACGAAATTGGACACTCCGGACAGATACGCCTCAGGCATTGGAACTGAGGAAACGTTGCTGTACGTTATTATTATGACAAAGGGGAAGTAACTTGAAGTGCAGCAGCGTGGATAACAGAATCGAAGTCCGTTATTGGGAATTGTGGGGATTGCGTTCTGTGATGAGATAGTGGCACCTGAATTACTGCAGAAACTGGTCAAAATTAAATAGAAATAGTTGCAGAAATGGGTATTATGTCATTGAGAATCGAAAAACGTCCAATTGATTGAACGGAGTCGGTGTACATTCCCTTTCACAATAAATGCTCTCCAAATGCAACTGCGAACGGGGCCTTTGATTTCTCATGCAAGTAAAGCCTTTTGCAGGTAATCAACCATTACAATTTTGCCGTCCGAACAATTCTAGGCTTTAGCTTAATTAGTCCATGCCTAAATTGTCAGTGAGCTCGTAGCACATGCGTCGTTCAGTATACAAACACTGAAATATACAAGGCTGACAAGAAAATGTAAAAAAATTCCTATCATTAACTACATAATGTAGTTAATAATTGTAACAGCCAAGCATCGAGTACATCCGGCTTATTCCCAGTTGTCACCACTGGCTTTGTTCCCACTGGTGACAAATGGGAAAAAAATCCCATATCTTACCAGGTGTTACCCATATGTTACCACCTGACTTATTTCTGCCACCAAGCAGTACTGTGAGCATTACAGTGTTCCGGTTTTGAACGGTAAAGGTGCCGGTGAAATTACAAGCACAAATAAAGACAATCCTTAATAAACACATCCAAATGTACTAATAAATTATATTATTGATTATTAAAAGCACACGTCTAGCTCTTTAGCGGTGTCAAGCCATGAATATAGGCCATAAAATTAAGGCGGCTTCCCACGCCCGTGACCCGTTTCGCAACTCGTGTCGCCCGTTTCACGCAAACGCACGTGTTAGGCAGGCCGCCCGAGCGCGCCAGTGGCCTTATTCAGAGTGGCGGCGGGCACGGGCGCAGATGCGGGTGCGTCTAAATCAAACGTACGTAGACACTCGTTGCGTTCACAATCGCCGCGCGCGCCGGCGGGCGCCTGTCTCGAGGCGGGCGCAGGCGCGAGAGCTCGCTTCGCGCGGTTAGATCTATTGCCTCGGTCCGCCTGTATTTTTCACAGTGCTTGTTGCAGTCACGAGACGAAGTTTGAAACCGTATAAAATCCAAAATTCCTTTTTTTTAGAAGATAATGAAAGCTTAGTTAATTAGGCAAATAACGTTAAATAAAGCCTTTCAAGGTTATAGAAAGTCGTTGGATCTACTTTATTGGAGAGTTAAGCATTTACACAATACCGTAGTTTAAAATGGCGCAACTTGGTTCCAAAAGCTTTTTATCTGCTGCAGTAATCTATGATACTCGTAGACTGCTGATGATTTTGTACCTACTTACACAAGTACATAGTGTGTATAATATTTTAAAACGTTTCTCTCCTTGAACTAATCATTCGTATCCCGATTTTAGAGACATATAATATTTACCTTCTTCTGTCAATTTCATAAAAAGGGAACCATTTATTATCATATATAAAATAAATTTCTTTCTTCCCAACAATTGAATTGTTTACTGAAATTCCCATTTGTTGAACTAATCATTCGTATCCCAATTTTAGAGACATATAATATTTACCTTCTTCTGTCAATTTCATAAAAAGGGAACCATTTATTATCATATATAAAATAAATTTCTTTCTTCCCAACAATAGAATTGTTTACTGAAATTCCCATTTGTATATCTGTGGTACGTCAAATTATACGTCTTCACTGTCGTTTATCACTGATATGTCAAACGAAACGATTTCTCGTCCTCGTATCAGACGCTATTTCTACAGCTATTGTAATGTAGTATGCGTCATGGTTATCGACAATTTCAAATATAAAAATACTACTCAACTGTTTCAGAACACCCTTCTAGCATTGTATAATAAGTAGTGCAAGTCCCGCCTGTTCGCCGCATCTATGCCTACACTTTGGTCGAAGCGTAGGGTTGTCACATTAGTATGTTAGTTGTACCTATAATTTGTTGGTTGTATATATAATGCGAGAAAATTAAGGTGTTCATCACTGTATTCTCGTGCTATATTGAAATAACCCTTGTTAAATGCAGTAGCATCGCGGATTGATATCTCGATTACTGGCGTATGATTATGAGATGGAAATAAAAACATTGAACGATTCTAAACTTGAATTGTTCAAACCACCATAAGCACAACAATAAACACGTCTACTATTTGATATCATTTTTAAACACCGAGCAAACGCTTCAATTCTTTTAATGAATATGAGTGCACCACAAGATTGTGCGGATGTGATGTGTATGCGTTTTTTCTAACTACCCACACTTGAAATTCATTAGTTATTTGTGCACTAGTGTTCTCACAAGACCGATCCACAACACTCGCGACATATATTTACCTGCTATAATTATTATTGCTTTCCGATATCTTTTGCTAGAGAACAGTTCTTTGGCTGTACTTGAATGACGCATCTCGTTTTTTACGTCTATCTGCATTTGAAGTAACTGATCTACCACTATCTGTAGTAAAAGAAAACAACATAATAAACAAGTAATAATTAGTTGGAAATTTCTGGAGAAGGACAAAATTTAGATGAAACTAAAACCGCCTAAATAACTTTTCTAGAATTGGCACTATCTTTTACCATCATGAATGATGAGCCAAATTAAAGTACTTTCAGAGATTAAACAACACCTGTCACATTGGTAAGAGGTAAAAAACTTCAAGTGTCAAATAGTGATTGTTACTACAAAGCGTTTCAAAAAGAATGAGACTCTTAATTAGTCATTTAAAATCAACTAAAGGTAAATAAAATATGTTAAATAAAAAACAGATGATAGGAATGCCTTTTACAATTGCGTGATGTTTAGCATTCTATATAATTGTTTGTACAAACATCTAAATTCCAAAATATGGGCTTAACCTAAAGTAAGGTCCTTTACCTCCATCTACAGACATAACTTACCTTTTCGTTCTTACTTCTTATACGTTTCAATACATTTTTAGCGGCATCCACTTTTCCTTGCATCAGACAATAATATGGAGATTCAGGTATCCACAAGTTGACAGTAAAATAGCTGATTGGTAACACCAACAATATATAATTTAATGTTGTATATGAAACGGAAGGGCCTATACACATCATTAAAAGAATGCCGAAGTTGTACATAAACTTTGTTATAAGCGCTGTAGAACCGCGTATGTCTTTGTCCGCTATTTCTGCTAGATACAGACCTATGATCTGAAAAAAAATAACGTGAGTATCTAAATTCAAATAGCAGTTCTAAATTACTAGAAACTTACAAATTATATCAACAGTTTTTTATGTAAAATTCAGATTATAAGCGATTTTGACGATAAAGGTAGTTATAATTTGTTTTCGTTTTGGGGACTACTAAAATACGAGTTCTGTTGTGGCACTAATGAACACAAACCACTCCAAACAGTACAGACGTGTATTCTGTAGTTAGAGCAATATGCGTTTTTGGTTATACTATTCGGCAGTGGAAATTTTCACCTCGTGAACCGCCAGAGCTTAAAGTAAATAAATCCATCGCAAAGTACGGCGGAATTGACAGCGTGGTTTGATACAACTAAAACTACCCACAATGACGACAACCTCCGTGGTCGAGTGGCTTGCACAACGGTTTTTAAGGTGTCGCCAACTCTGAGGTCCCGGGTTTGATCCCCGGCCGTGTCAATAATAGAAACTAACTTTTCGTCTCTGGTCTGGGAGTTTGTGTTACCGTCGTTGTTTCCGATTTCTATAACACAAGTGGTTTACTTACTTAACTTTGAGATCAGAGCAACGTATGTGTTGTTGTCTAATGCTGACCCCTTTGCGCAAAATCGGTAAAGTAAAAATAAACTAGTAATAGGGTTTCCCTAGTGCGGGGCTATGTTGAGTGTGTGCGTTATTATTATTTATTTATTAAACTAGAAAAAGGGTATAACCACACGAATTATCCGATCTACAACAGGCAACATGTAACGTCATATATTTGTAGTTATCAATGTCGGGTACTTACACTGCCGTTCATGCCTGTAGCAAAGCCCCAAAGGAATCTTGTTAAGTACAATAACCACGCCTTTGTCGCAAACGCCGCTATGCCCTACAACAAAATAAACAATAGCAACCGTAGTTGTAACTGTGGGAACCAACATTCAATGTCAATCACGTTTGGTGTCATAAGACAGATTCATAGATAAATATTAATAAAAACAAAAAATTCAATGCAATGACATTTCATATTGCGAGTGGAGTTTAAATTATATAATGCTATAGAATATGAATTAAAAAGGTACCACACATCTCAAAAACATAAAATATCTTGAAATGTTTAAAACAGAGAAAAGTCGAACAAAACTTCTTATTTAATTGTTAAAGAAAAACACTTCAAAAAGAAATCATGTGAACGCTATGAACAAACATGTCAAAGAGACGCTACTAGAAGAACAATCGAATTTAACTTGAACTGTATGGTACTTCACTTAAATAAGTTTTTCAATTTGAAATGGTTAGTCGCCAGTCTCGAATTGGGGCGATGCCAACCATGTCATAACTGACCGAACGACCTGAACTCTAACATGAACTTTGGCAGATACTTTGAATCCATTGCCAAAAAGCGCTATCAGGATGCTTGGCGTCCTTTCCGAGGTGAGGAGGTGACTTTATACCGGGACATTACTACATTTGTACCAAGCACAAGTCAGGTCGTGTATGGAGTATTGCTGCTACCCATTGTACACCTAAATACCAACTGGTTCCCTTGGATTCCATTAAGAAATGATTATGTAAAGATTTAGTAGAGGCGAAGCTGCAGAGTCCTGAATACTGTCGTAAATTTACCTGCTTATCTGTATTCTACATGATATTCATATATCACGGAGAATATTCGACGGAATTGTATAAAGCAATTCCGCCCTCGCCTTTCCATCATCGGGAGACTAGACGTTAACAGGGGTTCCACCCCTATGTTGTGTACATACCCAAGATTTCAAAAAAGAAGCTTTACGCTCCCATATTTATATGGCATCCGGTATAGTAGTGGAATTCTGCATTCTGCAGATTGTCCCCTGAACTCTAACTTGGGCCTTTTCAAGTCAAGAGTGAATAGGCATTATGTAGGTATTAAGGTATGCATGCTGCATCGTCGACCACATCGTCACTTTCCATCAGGTGAAATTGAGGTGAAATATGCACTTATTTTACCCATTTAAAAAAACACTATTGAAACCACCGGAAAGCATGTCTAGACTATAACCCATGCATGTCATAAAGTGCGACTAATGACTTATTGTTTGTGATGCCGTGGTTGTGCAAAGGACCTGCGGACTATTAATAAGAGTGGCTTACATGCTGAGAACGTTTATTGCATAACAAGAAACTGTAAGAAATAAAACTCTTGTCTCGTCATCCTAATGTCAGTTTTAGGGTTTAAGGTATTCGGTAAAGTATTATCATTCTTATACTTGTTATATTTATAATAATAATTGCTTATTTTTAATCAAAAATCCCATTTTACACATGTAAAATGAAGAATTTACAATGTGACATAATAGAACAATATGATAATAAACAAGAATAAAATATAGGAGACCTCATATGACCCACACAGATATAATAGTTTATGCGCGTCAAAACTTGGCTACTTATGAGCGACGTACGGGCGGAGGCCGAGCGTTACGAAACGCGGGAACACTAAAATCCGTTGCCCACCGTACCGAACTTGCAACTAGAAATCCGCGGGTAATAGGTCCCCGATTCTACGAACATCTACCCACAGACCTGAAAAGTGTTAGAAACGATGCAACGTTTTGTACCCGACTAAAAAACCTTTTATTGGATATTGAATTGTACAGTGTCGATGAGTTTCTTTTGAAACAATTTTAATTTTATTTTATTCGACAAGCAGTAGTTATACTACTTTATTTTATATTCATTATTATTATTATAATTTTATTACTGACGATCATAGTTATCCCTTGACATTGTATTTCCAATTGTAATATTGTGACATTGATAACATGAAATAAACGATTCTATTCTATTCTATTCTATTCTATTCACAGGTCTTCGTCTAATCTATTTCCTGTTTACGTCGCAGTGAATTCAACACCATTACTTAAAAATTGGATTAGACATATCTGCGGAAATAGCTCTCGGTATGCCATTATTAGAACGACTGAATCTGTTCTAAAAGACAGCAAACACAAGCCCTGACAATAGCAAAGAAGTCAGGTAATCCCTCCTTGGCGAACATGTTCGAAGCACTGCAGTAGCGTGATTTATGAGCAAAGTTCTTTGCGTTGCGAATATATTTATATTGATAGGAATGCGGCTATCTTGATTTCATTATTTTAATATATACACACTGTACGTCATCAACACACGTGAAAAGCAATGTTGATTGGCACGTCTCTTCCCTAAACGATATCAAGATTTCTTTATTATGACATGATAATATGTATACATAAGTTTTTCTTGAAATACGTAAGTATTATTATAGATCGACAATGATTTTCCTAATTTACCGTTCCAAAGGCGACAGGAACAACACTGCCCAACAAAGAAGCTCGTCTGCCGAAACTGTCTGCAAGGTACCGCGTAGCCAAACTGCCACACATGTATCCTGGAGGCGACATCGAAACCATCCACGATATCTCGTTCTAAAAAATGTTAGTTCTAAAGTTGAAAATATTCTTTCAAAAGGTTAAGTTCTATTCAAAATTAAATTTTAAAAATTAGCTTAGTGACTATTTTGTGTGAGATAAATATATAAAAATATAAATACTGCCTCCGTGGCCGACCGGTTACCATGCCGGACTGCCACGCAGAGGTCCTAGATTCGATTCCCAAGCCGGGAGAAATATGTGTATAGCCTGGATTTATCTCTCTCGTGAGTTTGGGTGTAATTTGTGGTTGTCTAAGTGTGGTCCATGACTCCCGCGACACAGGTTTTCCTTAGTGCGGGGCTATGAGTGTGTTGCGTTATTGCGTTATTATTATGAAATTCGTATAGTTAAACATATTCAAAGCGTTCAAATTGAGCCAGTGACTCATTAAGTGAAGGGTAAACAATTCAGGCAATATTTTTTTTATAATAAGTACCAAGTGGCGGAACGAACAAGTCGTGCGCCTGGTGGTAAGCGACACACCTGTTCATAGCGGCTGCAGTGACCAGCGGAGCTACAAGTCGAAAAGGCCTGAGGGGCTACTACGCCCATCACCCCGAGACAACTTGAAAAATCCCATCCAATTCTTCAAAACCGAAACGCAACAATGCTCACATTACTGCTTGGCGGCAGAAATAAGTAAGATTAGACTTACCTGGATGATAAATTATAATAAAATGCCAGAATTTCTAGTACGAGGAAATTGTAACAGAATAGCGGAATTAGCTCCGGGGGCATTAGTTCGAATACCCGTAATTGGTCTCCGCATATAACGCCAATAAACGGTATACCATCGAGATCTTTAAATGGTAACCAGGCGTACAAGAGCCACAACAATGTTTATTTGATAACAGTAGTCGAAATCCGTTACGACTTTCCATCTAGTGCTTTAAAACTTACTTTTGACAACTCAAAGGCTGTCTGGTTATCGTGGAACTTGGGCAGAACCTGTGCCGCCCATGACCCTAAACTGCCCATTGCCACTGACACTATGGACACTGAAATCATAATAAGTAAACATAATCTTTAGTACAAAAAACCAACAACGGAACTATACTTACATCGTAAGGAAATATTAATATAAAAAACGTATGGTGGGTGTAAAAATACAGTGGCAGAATCTACATTCTCTATTCTCTCTCTGCCCAATATTTGATATGTGCATGTGTAAGCAATGCCCTCTAGTGAGCATTCTTATGCCATTTCTGTCCAATGACAGTACTTCTCTACAGTGTTTGACACTGTAGGCACATATCAGGACTATATATATATATATATATATATATACATGTATAAATGTATACATATATATATTTATATATATGTATATATATATATATATATATATATATATATATATAATAGCCACACTCACACTTCTCGGGAGAGGTGTGTGCTCTTATTTAGCAGAGTGAGCTTTGCCAGGCTGTATGTTATCCCTATGAAGGTTTCGGGTCCAATAAAGGTTTCCCTAGCACCAGCCCTTGCCAATTCATCCGCTCACTCATTACCCTTGATGTCACAGTGGCCTGGAACCCAGCGCACTGTATTACATTCCCCGAGAGTATTCAGTACATTTACACAGTTCTCTAGAATCCTCTATGTTTGGGTGACTGAGGCTAGTGTATGTAGAGCAGCTTGACTATCTCAGTTTATGTAAATATACTTGTCAACGTAGCAGACACGCTATGTGCTGTAGACTGCTCAATGTGACAATTGTGGTTGTTTGGCTATCTTTAGCACTCCAAGCAACAGAGGCGTAAGTCACTATGCACCATGTGTGCATATGTGCCTCACAATTGCCTTATATAACCAGAGAGTCATATTTGGTTTTAGACCCCAATGCCGTCCCACTATACGGCTTGAGATACGTAAGGCCATTTTGGCCTTGTTGACCCTATTACACTTGACACAAGTGATCATATAGTACTTTGGCAGTGCCCTCGAACTGTGATCACCAGATCATCCGCACATCCCTGAGCGTCGATATTTAGTTCAGCCAACCTATACAGGAGCTGATCCACAGCAAGAGTCCACAGAAGAGGAGAAATTACCCCACCTTGCGGGCAACACCCTTACTGTGGAGGCCACAAGCCGGTCCCCATGTAACGAGATACTGGCCCTATGGCTTAAAAGCATGTTCTGTACCCATCTCGTGGTTGAAGTGTCTACACCTTTGCAGGTTAGGCCCTTCACCAGAGTACGGATGAGTGTATTGTCAAATGCACTATCAATGTCAAACTGAAAGGCATTGAAATGTTATTACTAAACTTTCTTCCAAACAAACATTATATTTTTTTCTTATTTACAAGTAAACGAGGCGTTTGATATTATCGAACGCACACATGGTGCGACAGCCGCTATGCAGTTACGGCTATTTTCCACTATGTAAGAAGATATACATATATATATATAACTATAATTATATATAATAAATAAATATATATACATTATATATATAAATATATACATATAATGTATACATATAATTGTAAATTGCTACTAGAAGACAAATGAGATTGAAAAATATAAAAAATTACATTTCTTCACTTACCAGAAAATGCTATTAAATACTGCACTTTCCTGTTGCCTGTCTCATAATGCTCCATGATCTGAAACAGTATAAATATTTTTGTTTATAAAATTTCGGACAACGAACTTTCAACTCGAAAAATCAATATCTATTACCTACATGCTGAATTCCTGGAACCATAATTAACAAAGAAATTATATGGGGCAAACTGATAAAGGTAATAAATACACACTGATAAAAAACGTAACATGCCGTTTTGTATTAAATATTCATTATGAAACTAGCAGTACTTTACTTTATACTTGGACCGTCTTATTCATGAGGCCAGGGTAAAACTGCTTTGCTTATTCGAGTCCATTACAAAGTCTATGTATTTTGCCATGCCTTTAGGGTTCTGGACTTTTTCGCCTAGTTCCTGTGCCATTTGTTATGTTTCACAAAAAAAAATAGAAAGAGCTTAAAGGCAAGGGAACGTGCTTGAATTCTATTGTTTTATGTTCATCTCTTTTTCACTTCATTAGCCTTATTTCGGTTTACACCATTACACATATTTTTAAAGAGTTGTTTTTACTACTTTCTTAATTATCCCGAATCGTGTGTTCATAAATTATATTTTTTAATTATACTTATTATATACTTATTATCCAACCTAATTTCTAAGAACTTTGTAGGTTTCGTAAGATACTAAGTAACAGGTAGTTCAAGTTGAGTAAGATAGATTAAAAATGTTAGTGGTGAAGTCACATGTCAATAGAAATAAATTTAATACAGAAAATTATTCCCAAATACAGAGAAGGCTAAGATCATAGATTGAGTATATATACTAAATCTATGGCTAAGATATATATTGTAAACTCCGTATATTGTGATCTTACTTGCAAATTTTTCAATATACATATAGATTTTTACCCTGAATGTTGGCCAAACATGAATTCTATATAAATCGTACGCTGGTATTGAAACGAACAGGAAAAGTTATTTAAAAATATAGTGTGTGCCCAAAAATTTTGGAGCCACAGAGAAAATGAGCACCATACATAACCAACAATTCAACATATAAAAAAATAATCTTCGCTCTAATAGGCTGATTGACATTTTCACAAAGTGCCAATGACGAAAAAAATCAGTAAAATCACCGTGAAGTTGCGGGACATGTTAAAATCACTGTTGTAGTGTGTGTATATTATGTGTCACGCACATTTTTAAAATGATAACTTCCCAATATTTATTATTTGCACGTTGAATTTTTCTAGGAAAGCCGTCACAGTGATATCACCAAGTAATATTGACATAAGCTGTATGTACACTGTCTACTATCCATATAAAAAGCATATAAGCAAAAGCAAATAAGTAGATAAGAATTAAAAGGGGTCGCATCGATTGTTGTCAGACGACAACAATCGATGTGCGGGGACGACTCCCCGCCATATTATGAGATTCGACCGTAACAAGAACCAGTTCATGTTCAAGGTTTCGCGTTCTTAAGTACTGATAAGACCTACTTTTCTTAGTGTTCGATCTTTGTATTAATAATTATAATAAACTAGTGAAATAATATCACAAAAATAGTTGAATGTCATGGTGGTCAAACATCGTGATATTCAATAGATTAAAAAAATATATTTCAATTATTAACTTCGTAAGGACCAGCAAAATGAAATGGGAGAAGCGCTAAACGCCCAATGTACATTAAAATGTGCAAATATAATTACATGCTTCAGGCCCACGCAAGTATGTCCTCAATTTTGTATGAAAATCGCAAATGGGATTTTATTAAGTATTTTTCTAGACACTCTATGGTCGTGTAGAATACATTGCGTTAAATTTGAATGCGATATTTTCCATTCATTTAAATGCACAATGCGCTGTGTATGAAAATAGGCAACATATATATATATGCCAGTATTCCTCTCATGCTTATAATTAAAATAAAGTCTTTAAAAAAATTAGATATACGTTCACAAATGACATGTTTACATCAACATAACTGTTATTAATAGTTTTGTATCAAAAATGTACCACTTTTGGATATAATTACACAACGCTTCGACTAAAAATTATTACAAAAACAATAAACTTTTCAAAGGAAAACAAAAACTTTTACAAAAACGCAACAAAAAAAATCTTTGAAAAAGGGAAGGGACGAAGTCTTCGTACTCCGAATTATTAAGACAATCTTCAATTTCAGTGTCCCTAAGTCGTAGGATTATAAAAAAATACATACATTATTTTCCACTCAGTAATGCTCAGTGTGCATTAAAATGTACATATTTTTATTTTGCTAAACTAAAAATAACTATGCTTGCATAAGTTCAGTTTGTTATTTTTAACTAAAAATCTGTACGAATCTACTAGGTCAATGGAATCTACTCAAGATTTCAGTGAATAAAGCTGATTAACTAACGTCGTTTCTGCGGGTGCGCCATTTTCCACATGTGCGCACTATTTTGACAACTAATCTATGATTAGTTGGCGGATGTCATGTGATAAAGGCTGATTCACGTTACGCCGTGCCGGGTTCGGACCGTCACAGTACCGTGTCGTTTCCACCGTGCGCCGGCCGGGCAGTCATTCACTGATTCACGTTACGCCGTGCCGTATTCGGACCGTCACAGTACCGTATCGTATCCACCGTGCGCCGGCCGGGCAGTCATTCGCTGATTCACGTTACACCGTGCCAGGTCCGGGCCGTCACCGTACGCCGTCCGGGCTGATATTGGTTTTCCAAACCAAATTTATGTGTTTTTTAACCAAATACTTCGGATGAGTCATATCATAAAGCACAGGGTACATGCGCATACATTCTATTTTTTTTTTATTTCTAAAATAATTATAAAAAATTACTTAAGTTTCAGAATGAATTCGACCGAAAAACTTATATCAGTGATTCAATCATATCCCAGTTTATTTAATACAAGTCGTAAAATAAGGAAGTAATTCATTCCAAGGTGCCAAATCAAAGTCGTGAGTATACTATTTTTTACCTTACTGTACCACTAGGCCCACGACTTGTTCATCCCGTCATTTGGTATCGTAAAAAAAACAAAACCTGGATAGCAAATAGCAGTATGTGTCTGACCAAAGCGAAGTACTAGGAATATGGAACTTACGTAGGATTACCACAAATAAAAGAAGATGTTCTTCATCACTATCCGACAGTGACATGGTGCTTTGTTGACTGTGTTGAAAACTTAGAGGATAGAAAAAGAGGTTGAAATGAAGTGTGGCGTGACGCTTTTGGTGTCACACCGGCCGCCTTCGCGCCGCTGCTGTCCCGCCGCGAACTACGCGCTGGACCGCTGTGTGACACGCCCTGTCACGCATTCGCTTCCCGCAAATCCGCCCCCGGACAGCTTTTCCCGTTATACTGCGACTGTGTGGCATGACTTTAAGTATATCATGCAAGAATATGCCAAATGTCTGTACCTATACCATAAATTAATTATATCCGTATAGCGTTACCAAAAATATGTCATTTAATGTTGTCTTACGAACCGCACCATGGTCGATTTGTAAAAGATGACTCCACGTTTTATGTTTTACCGAAACTATGTAAATATTTGCACTTTACTTAAGCATTTATGTCATGTTATAGTTAAAGTCATTTTCTGTTAAAATTTTAGATAATTGATTTTAGCAGTATAACGACGATTTATATTCTCATATCCATATATATTTTAAAGTCACACGATACATTCGAATTACGCCAATGATAGTTGTTAAAATTCTACTTCACTAAATGTTACGAGACTTAAATATTCACGGTATCGTCTTCCATAGTAATTCTTCATTCGTGATTGTGCGTCTTAAATTTTATTCAATTTATTTAAATCACTCTTAATAGTGTTTCTAATGAATATTGATCTAATTATCAAGTACCCTACTTTTTATTCGACATAGGTACGTTGCTCTAACGCCAAAATAACCAAAGCACTTGTGTTATGGAAATCGGAAACAATGACAGTACCACAAACACCCAGACCCGAGACAATTTAGAATTGTTAATATTTCTACATCCCCGGCCGGGGATTGAACCCGGGACCTCAGAGCTGGCGACACGACGAAAACCGGTGTGCAAGCCACTCTGCCACGAAGGTCTCTTAAGTACATCATTTTTGGTTATTATACTGGTAATAATTTACGATTTTACGCAATTGTAAACTAAATACCTATTTGAATTTGCAGATTTTTAAGTTTTTAATACCTTCTAAGTAACAAGCACAGACATCACAGATAGTCCATAATTCATTAGTTAATCTACTAATGCTTTATTTATCCGCCATATAGATTTTCTTTTTGTCTGGAACGTGCTTGGGATATCAGAATTTATATAATTAAACTCCTAAATTACTCCCATGAATGTTAATGAGACGGCTAATACCACACAATGCCATTACCTGCATCACATTATAATCCAAAGTATCAAACGCCTTTTTATAATTTGCAAATAAAGCAAACAAATGTTTCCCGCCATCCAATTATTCATTCGTTTTTAATACCGCCTTAGAACAAATTTAATCATTGCAAGGTTTGATTAGAGAACTGATTCAATTATGGAGAAATGGACGCATAATTTATTTATTTGTGAAAACGCAGGTTATGTAGAAAAATAAGTACGTACAATTCCACAGTGCCAGGTCAGGTCAATGGTGCCAGGCCAAATATTGGGCATACAAACTTATTGAATTCATTATAACTATTTACTTAAAATAGTAAATAATAGTTTGCTTATATTTTGCAACGACAAGGAAAAGTTCGTTAATATTGTTAGGGATAATATTATTTGATCTTCAAAGAAATAATTGATGTATTGTAAATATGCAATTTATTAAATAAACATTACATATTTTTATGTTTGATACATATGAAAATTGTTCTATCTGTATTAGTTGATCTATGAATAAATAATAAATGAACTGCATTCAAGGTAACACTATTATTATGTTTAAGCATACTAAATTAATATTTGGTATTCAAAAATAATATTAGATCCTCTTTTTTTATAATTGGTCTTTTCTTTTAACGATTGATGACATTTATGACCAATATATCTTTTGATATTGATCTTCTAATAAATTTTGGTTGCTTGGTTACGCCCTCGATTCAGTAGGTAGATTAATATATGAAAAAGCAGCACGAGTGAAGCGAGCGGGTCGCAGCAGCGGCCGGCGTGTGCCAGAAGCCAATTTACTTGCGTTTCCGTACATATTTTCAGGTCAAATTACATTATAATTAATATATACAAATATATGATTATCACTAATATCAGGTTTCTTACCACGGTGTGACTTCTTTTTATTTTCCCGATATTTTAATAAAAAGAAGTTATACCGTGGTAAGAAACCTAATATTAGTGATAATCATTTAGTGAATAACCACGAAAGTGTTAAAATCTATACATACAAATATAATCAACACTTACTTAGTTTTAAAAGCAAGTATCAAAATTTTATTTTTAATGCTCATTTTTCTTAGTTTTGAGGCCCAACAAAACTACCAACTAAACTACAAAAAAAAACTACCAAAGTTAATTTATATAAATCAAACATTTTCTACGTAGCTCAGAACAGATTACAATATCGTTTGATTTAATTTATTTTGTGTCTCAGAGAAAAAGGATCAGTCATTGAAAAAGATGACCGTTTAGATTTTTAACCGACATCAAAAAAAAGGAGGATTTTTTCGTATGTATATTCCGCGATAACGCCGGTATTTGTTAACCGATTTTGATGATTCTTTTTTGTTACAAATAGGGTACCTCCACTCTGGTCCCATTACTATTTTTGCAACAAACATCTTTGCAACAAAAAAGAATCAAACCGATTTTTATTATCTCCTGTGTCAAGTTCCGTATAGTGGCGAACTAGGGAATGAATCCAGATTTGCACACTTTCCGGAAACCGATTTCTATAAAACTTGACAAATAGATATAATTCCACGTACTTTTGAGTCGGTTTTTTTTACAACTCTGTACTGAGATTATTTTGTCTGCTGCTTTCGCAAATTTAAAAGGATCAATAAATACATGCCGTATTGTAATACTATTGAGTAAGTAACAAATTACGATGTCTTTTTAAATCGTTTTATAACAAATTATTTAGCAGCGTCCAGTAATTTGCTAAACAGTTTAACCAATATGGCTTTCCGCAACATTACACAACAAGTTAAGGTTATCTACTTTGCACTAAATTAAACTTACCTACATTTTGTTCAACAAATATACATACCTCATAAATGTACATGCGATGATAAGAAAAACAAAGAGAAAATCGCACCAGAGTTCACAAACCATGTCTGGACTTATTTTTTTCAATTTTTGTACAATAGTGTCAATAGATTTTTTGTCACTTTACCGTCAATGTACGATAAGAAATTATCAAAATACATGTGATACAAAATTATCTATAAGGTTTAATAAAAAGATTCATTCACATTAAAGACCCTAAAACACCTACTGCTACTAGACTGTTACTGTTGCTTTGTCCTTTATACGAATATAAATATGAAAATAGATGTCACAATAAATTATCTCTATAATAAAATTTGAGTGTTTATTCACTGTAAAAATCCTAAAACACTTTATTGTCTACTGATAATTGACGCGATTGTCTTGCGAAACTATGTTCGTGTTGTATCGGGTGTTGACTCGTCTGTATCGCCGTTGTGTTTTGAACAAGTCTCAAAAACTTGGAAGCTTGCAAATATACAAGCATTTACCTAAGAAAGGTAGTCGTGCCGACTGTCGCAATCACCTCCATACTCTGTGGAGCTATGGAGCGTGTGTTGAACCGTCGTCTTCTTGTTGTTGTGTTGGACCGCCGTCTTCATCTAATGATCTCAGTGATCAAGAGTTTTCATTTCTGGATTATTGCTTATGCCACACATCTTTGGGTTGAGACCGTCGAGAAATGCAGCGGTCAACTTTTGACGGGTCCTGGAATTCCTATTGGCTTGGGTACACGGATAGACCAATTCCTATATACAGAATAGACAGATAGGTAAAGGGAGAGATGATTACACATCTGTTCTTTACGGTATTGATACCGGTGTGCCTCAGTGATCTGTCCTGTTCGCCACTCTATTCTTGTTGCACATCAATGTCCTGCTAATGCCGAGTATCTTTGGATATGCAGACGACACGACAGTGGTTTAGAGTCATAAATATATTCAGTTTCTCCTTCTTTTTTTAATACCAAATAGCGGGACGAACAAGTCGTGCGCCTGGTGTTAAGCGACACGCCTGTCCATAGCAGTTGTAGTACCGTTCTTTAAATTGCAAGGATCTTAGGGACACTGCCACTAAGAGTTCACATGACAAGTCCGCCTGTAATTTTGCATTTCGCGGCACAAATAGGTACGGTGGCAAAATTCCCTGTTAATCCTTTCACAAGGAGCTCAACTGCTACTAAAGCTTCGGTCTACTAGAAAGTTCGGAACACACTTTTCTCATATTACTGACTTCAGTAAATCCCATTCGTATAATTTAAAGCAACGCTAATGTGAATAGCCATTTACCAAACATACGTGTAACATCGTCGGCTAAATAGTCGCTTAACACCAGGTCAGTTCGTGAATTCACAAAAGAGTATAAAATGAATTTTACATATAAAAATAGATATGTCGCAATACAGTAATACAGCAAAACAGTTACGACAAAAACAAACATCTTCTAAGAACAGCTTCCAGTCTAGTTCCAGTTACAACTTTACAATTTAGTAATACAATTATTATTCTTTCTAACTCCTGTAGGTACAGGTTTGGATTACGTGTCTGAACAGAAAAAAATAGGTATACGTGAAAGAGTCTGCACTTATCAACATTCTACAAACTCATAAGACATATTAATGAGACGTGTTTGAGTTGATACAGATACTTATGACCACAATGTTTGGATAGTGTATTCTATTTCAGAAAACCTTTTATAGATCACTATAAAACCTATACCATACATAGTGGATCTCGGTTACCGCTGACTCCGAACTCGCTCTTTATTAATGTTTGCCCGACGCTTTCGCAGACATCGTAACGTCTGCAGCACGCACCCTCCACCATCTTAACATCTTACTTGTAAGCTGTAGTAGAAATTTATTTTATTTCTAACAAAATGATTTAACCTACAACATAATTATGACTAGATAAGATAATTATAAAGTATCTCAGTGAGAATTTCTATTTAGTACAATTGAAATCTAAATGTCAATTGTAGGGTCGGTGGACTAAAGCACATACGTCAAAATCCAAAATCATTCATTTAAAGTAATAAATCTACCGGCTAAAGCCCATAAGTCAAATTCATTTGTTACTCCATAAATTTGCAACTTTATTCTAGGAGTGTCTTTTTCAAAGTTATCATTATTTTCACATCTTCAACTGTAAACAACGTAAAAAAATATATAATTATATATCGAGTTCTTAGGTTTTCGCGATCGTTACACATAGGAAATGAAACTATTTTCGTTTACGTTTCGGGCGACGATTCCGAAACGTCGGTTTTTTTGAAAAAACAAGTATACCTACGCGATTTAAATCCGGAAAAATAGTTTCATTTCCTATATATAATTATATATTAACAAATGAAGCACTTTTTTACTTATGTACTTTAGTCCGCCGACCCTAGAATTAAAGTCTTTGAATAATGCTCATGAAAGACTTACCTAAGTTTCTTCCAAATACTGCTGAAAAATTCCGATTTACGTGTATTGTTCAAAAAAATAAAATATTTTTTTTTACTTCATGCAATCCAAAATAAAAATGTGTGTCATAATCTTTTTGATTTGTTTTCACTTGTTTTGACAATAAAATAAATAGCACGTCTGGATGTGATTGCGGTTGCCCACGGAATGCGGGAATTCTATACTACATACAGGCTAGCCACACGCGTACATACTACTGCATTCTCACACCAAACTTGTGTGTATGTCAAAAACATACACATGTATTTTTTTTTAAATAAATTCTATCTAACACGTGTTTGATTTGTTTTGTTTATTTTATATAAAATATGGATCATCATTCGACTTAGGTACTACCTCGGTAAGTGGTGCCTGCGACATTGCCTCAGTAAGTTTGTGATGATGCTGATGATGACTCTTTTCCGACTCCAGGCCATTTTTGAAATTTTGAATCGTTCTCTAATTCCTTTTCTTCGATATTCTTACTTTGGTTCGTCCCGTTATCACTCCCATCAAAATTCTTAAAGCCAAAGGACGTGCTCATGAAGTATCCTCAATTAAAACCCTAACTTCACGTGAGTTACTTCTTTTTCATCATTAGAATATAAGCTTTACGCTCTTGGGGTGAGTGGACTGTCCATGCGACTGTTTAGGGAGTGTTTTGTACTGTTACCTTTTTTCTTTGTACCTTTTCATGTCATTGTATTTTTGTTACAGCCTTTTATTCTTTCTACATCTTATAAATTCATCTGAACCGAGCCCTTATTTTACTTTCACTAAGGTTATGATACAGGTTTCTTGTAAAGCACCACCGTCTCACAGTTATTTCACTTACCTAACATTATGTCGTTAGATTTAAAGCCGAAGCGACACTGATTTGTTTTATCGGACTGAGCCAGTATTTCACATAATGCTAATGTATATAATAAGTATAGAAATTGGTAGAAAAACATTGAAATCTAACATACCCGTTACTTTAAGTATAGTAGTGAGGTGCACGAAAGGAGCCTCCTCTCACCACGTAAGTACATACCATTCGTTTCCTGTCCATCTACGGCACCCTGGCAACAATCGGCGAGTACCTTACGCCGATGGCAAATCCTTTCACGATGATGGCAAGTATTCCATATTTATTCCATACCATCGATTCGATAAGAAGTAAAGAGATAGATGTTGAATCATATGTCATCCACAAATTGAAATCCTTGTGCAGGGTCAGAAGCACGTTAAGCTTAACACTTGAGCTTTCAATTCAACTGCATACCACGTGCGATAAGAATGGTTCAAAGTGTGAAATTTGTGCTCTTGACAATGACATGAAATTATTTATCTCTACACTCAACACAGCGACGGAAATAACAAAGAGTTATTAATATAAACGCGTTCCCACTCTCAGATTTTTTTAAATCTATTTTTAAAAGACCTGAAAAGTTCGGGCGTTTATGTCGGCCTCGTAATATAAGTACCCATGTACCCATATTTTTTTTTACGGGGGAAATCTTTATAGATACCCCTGAGCCCAGAGAAACTCAGCTTATGTGGGGACTCTCCCTCCAAACGCGAGGGTCTACCCCACTAACCTATGTACCCATCCTGCTTTACCTGTCACTACTCCACTTCCAGATTATAGGACCGGTTAGTTTGAATATATCATACATAATGGACGTCAACGACTAAGATAGTTAATATCGCACCATAGTAGGCTGGTCGACCTGTATATACAACTTTGATAGCTTATATGATGGAAAACAGTTGTCATTAAGTTGAGTTGTCATACAACAATTATATCGATTGCCATTTTGAAAATAATAAAACAGTTGTTAAGTTACACCTTTCTAATTAGGGCGAAAAGTGGTCCGTGTGAAAAGGTTCCCAAAAAAAACTTCTTAGTTTCAACTTTTTGGCGGCGGAAATAGTAAGGTGGCAGTTTCTCCCTGAATGAACTCGTTCACAAGAAGCTCTACTGCTAGGTACTATAATAAATTATAATAAATACAATAAAAGAAAAACGTAATATATAAAAAAGAAATTTTATTTATAATAAAAAACTAATTCCAAAATTGAACTGGCCGACTGTCGATTTTGATTATATGATGCTTAGTTTGTACTTAATTCAAGTGCAATTTGCGATTGCCATTTCTAGTTACATAGGTTTAAATCAACAGATAAATTATCCGTTGATTCCGCACACCAGCTTCAATATCGTCAAAAGTCAAAAATCGTCGTTTACTGGATTTTATTGCGACACCGCGCATAAACTTCGGTAAAAATTTGAAAAATTGTGTCAACATTGTACTCAGTAAAAGGTAAACTAATAATCATTTTAGATTAGTTGGTAGGCATTTATTCGGAAACATAACCATGGTATTTTTACTTGTCACACTTGCCATTTTATTATTGTATTAGAGTTGATGCGGGTGTGCCATTTGTTGCGCATTAAAAAAGACGAAACAAAAAATGCTTATTTGGTCAATCAAAAAACGCAGCGAATTCCTTAAGTACTTATACATACTTGTGAATAATAAAATGTTAATGTTGAAAATGTTTGTTAATCATTTTCATCCATCACATTTGGTTTCGCTATGTTCTTAGTCTATTCAAAATTCATGCTCAAAATTTAAATTTTGTCGCCGTCAGTAGGTGGCATGAAAGCACATAGCATACAGGACGTCTCACGGCTATACCACATGGAGGGAAAGTACCTTAAATACCGTAGACAGAAAATTTTACTGAAAAAAGTCTTTCTTTTAAATTTTTATTGAATAGATATTCAATTGTTTTTTGTGAAATTACTCCACCAGTTTGTTATAATTATTAATACAAAGATCGAAACACTCTTCAACAACAAACACTTTTCAAACAAGGCCTTTTTTATTTTTATTTTAGAAACAATTCTAACTGCATTCAAAGGTTTTTAAATAATTGTCTGTCTATACCGAGAATCAAACCCGACAAATGTGAAAAAAAATACCTGTAATTTTAATATACTGATTTTGACACATTTTGATCATTTGGTAACTTAAATTATTGATTGTAAGTTGCAGTTAAGTATACCTAATTATTTTATTAAATGTTAAATTTCATGATCTTCCTTTTATTTAAGATGGTATGTTATTTAGAACAAAATAATCCCTATGATTGAAGCTTTCCATCAGTGTAGTAAAACTACAGGTGGTTTTTTTCACATTTGGCGGGTTCGATTCCCGGTATAGACAGGCTATTATTTAAAAATCTTTGAACGCAATTGGAATTGTTTTTAAAATCAAAATTAAGTCTTCTTTCAGTAAAATTTTCTATCTTCGGTATTTAAGGAACTCTCTCCGTGTGGTAGGTATAGGCGTGGGACAGCCGTCCTCTAGCTTGCCTGTTGTCGAGTACCATTGCATTGTTTTGTCTATCCCAAAGAAATCTATAAATAATTTATTTAGAAAGAAGAAATCTAAATAATTTATTTAGAAAGACTAAATCTAAATAATTTATTTAGTAAAAAGAAATCTAAAAATTTATTACTAATTACACTATAAATCAGTCTTTTAAAGACAATTCACCGAGTCTTGAGTTCTATATGACTTAATAGATTATGAGTAAAAAAAATTGACCGTTTAAAAGAGTATTGCATGTTTTTTTTAAAATAAGTAATCTTTACTCTCTTAACTCTCTCATTTACAATTTAATTAACGTTTTTTCTTAAAACCTTTAGGAACACCTCAAATTGCCACAACCAGGCGACATCGACATAACGCTGTGATGCATTATTAAAACGAGATTCTACCAGATAAGGAGATTCTAAAATGAGGAAGATGCAGCACGAGGTGCCGAGCATCACCGAGTCGCTCAGTGCGCAGGCACGTTGCAAAGTGCTATGTAATATAAAACATATCATCTACAAAACAAAGTATACGTTTCTTTCAATGCAAAATAAAAAGGAGTAAAGCCGCGCAGTGATTTATATACTGTCATCGGTAGTTTGTTCCGCCACGGACAATGAAAAGTGTACCTAAATTAGCCTCTCAACAATAAGGTATAGTTCTTTGAAAGGTTCGGTACTGCGCTGCCTCTACTGGGTATACCTGAGCAGCAAATATATTAAGTGCCTGCAGTTCATTATTCAATAAATGCAACATACGTTACTGTCAGTAAAATAAATTGTTTCATTCATACAATTACCAAAAAATATATGTGTATCAAAATTATTCAAGCAACTTCGTGTTTCTTCAATTCTCTCAACTCAACGTCATCATTACCACTTTCACAAGTACCATTAGGTATAACCATATTCTCTGTAGCCACTTCATCTTCATAATAGAAATCACCCTGCAGTTGTTCTTGTATCTCTCTCAAACTCTTTCCTTTCGTCTCAGGAATGATTGCGATAGAAAATATTGCTCCAAAGAGAGCTACTCCGGCGAATATCCAAAACACACCACATAGACCCAAGCAGTCTTTTAAAATTTGATACCCTCGTGCCACCAGGAAACTTAATACACCACCGAAGATACTTAACGCCGTCATAGCTGTCGCTTTAACATTCAAAGGAAAGATTTCTCCAGCAACTACATGTACAATTGACTGAAATCCTATAGTAGAAATTACATTGGAGCAAATGATTCCAGTCAGAGTAATGAAGCCATATGGACTAAGAACTTCTTTGCTGAGGCCAATCACTTCCATTAGGAAGAAATAAATACCGACTACAGCGAGACAGACCGTCACTCCGAAATAGGAGTAAATAAGAAGAGGTCGACGTCCCAATTTGTCAGCTAGCACTGAAGGCAATAGACCTGAAAAAAAAAAGCATTACTATTCAAGTATAACTAAAGGAAATTAGTAGAACATCGCCTATTTTAATGTCGAGTTTTTTTTCGCATATAAAAAAAACACATAATTAGCCATACCCAAATACCCAGAGAATATAAAATGGATTGAGTAGTATCAATTGAAAAATGTAGTAGTAGAGCTCCTTGTAAAAGAGTTCGTCCAGGGAAGCACTACCATCGCACCTATTCCTGCAGCCAACCAGTAATGTGAGCATTACTGCGTTCCGGTTTTGAAGGATAAGGGTAAATGTGAAATTACAGGCACATGAGACTTGTCAACTTATGTCTTTAGAGTGACGGGCGCAGTGGCAGTGCCCTTCAAATTTTTGCGATTATAGATAGCTCTCTGTGCAGCACTGCACCTATTATGGACAGGCATGTCGCTTACAACCACGCACACGACTTGTTCGTCGTGTCATTTTGTATCATACGAAATAGTTTTAAAAGGATTATTGAGGAGAGAAATCTTTTAAAAACAATAGACAACAGAAAAGGAAAAATATTTAAAAAACATCTCTCTCTTAGTGACATATTTATGTGAGTTGTAATTGAGGGAAGATAGAAGGAAAAAGATAGAGGAAAGACCAAGAATGGCGTACAGTAAACAAATAAAGAAGAACGTCAAAGTGAGCAGCTATAAAGAGGTCAAGTAGCTGGCTGTAAGCCGTGAGAAGTGGAGGAGGCTAATACCGACAAGAGCCTGACTCGTAAATAGGATAATGAGGAAATATTTGTATAAGTTTAACTGCCTCCTTGGCCGAACGGTTTAAATGCTGGACTGTCACGCAGAGGTCCCGGGTTCGATTTATTACTTCAGAGAGTTTGGGTGTAATTTGTGGTTGTGTGCGTTATTACTATATTATTATTTGTATAAGTCAATAACTCGAACCATATTTAACGTAAATATAAACTATTTCAATCGACAAAGGGATTGGGAACAATAAAAGGATTAAGTGGATTTTTTTTTTTGGGAGTAGTGTTATATGAGAGTATTATAATCATATTATGATTATGAATGCAAAGGTCGAACACACAGAAAAATTTTTTTTAGTTGACCCGGTGTGACTTGAACCCACATATATACTGCACCGTAGCATTGCTCTAACCATCTGAGCCACGAGTCCATTTACCGAGCGTAGTTCCAAAACTACGCTCGGTAAATGGACCCGGTGAGAAGGTTATCCAAATAACCTTATCACCGGCGACGAATGCCGTACGGACGTGCGGACGAATTTCGACGTCTCAATAACTGGACCCGTGGCTCAGATGGTTAGAGCAGTGTAGCACGGTGCAGCATGGAGGTGGCTTCAAGTCCGATCGGGTCGGCGAAGGTTTTCTATGTGTTCGATGTTTGTATTCATGATCATAACAAAACTAGTAGAATCATTTCACAAAAAAATCTCAACAAATATTATATATCAAAATAGTTTATGATCATGCCAGGTTAGATTTTAATGATGAATACTGACTGTTTGTCACTCTCATAACCGCCCAGAAACCCGTATCTCCCGAACTGAAGACTTGGAAAACAAGAACTGGCTCCAGAAACATTCAAGACGGCGCCGGAATATTTGTTGTAAATAATTACAATCTTATTACCATATAAGTAAATAAATTACTCACTGACAACAAATCTGATAGCTCCGAAAGTAATACAAATCTTGGGCAATGTCCAGTCAATACCACTGTCTTCCATAATCAGGCCCAAATACTGCTGTATCGTTACCGCGCCCGTCATTATTTGCGTCATTTTTAAACCTGAAATTTATAACATTTTTGTTAAGTAACGACACCAGCGTCAAAACAGCGGGAATTGTTAATAATTTTATCGACATTATTTAAATTTGTATACTTGGGATCTAATTGATTTTTACCCAATGTTCAATATGTTTTCTTCGTTCACCAAAAAAGTAAAGTATTACGATTTGATTAACCTCAACCAGAGAAAGTGACATACCGGCAGCAATAATGATTGCCTTTCTATACTGTTTTCTAGTGAACAGTTCTTTGGGAGAGCTGGAACGACGCGTCTCTTTTTTAACATCTTCTTGCATTTGTAGGAAATCTTCTTCTAGGCGCTACAAATTAAATTACAACGGCTTGAGTAATCCACGTCCAAGTATTTTTTTTTATGATAGTGACGGGACGAACACAGTGGTAAGCGGCACGCCTATCCATAACAGTTGCAGTGATCTTTAAGTTTTCAGTTCTTTAAGCTTTAAGTCGCAAAGATCTTAAGGGCATTGACACTGCGCCTGTCACTCTGAGACATAAGTTGACAAAAAAAAAGTCCAACGTACCTGTAATTTCACCAGCACCCTTACCCTTCAAAACTGGAACGCGGTAAGGCTCAAATTACTGTTTGGCGGCAGAAATAGGTAAGGTTAAGGTAAAATAGGCAGTACTTCCCTGGACGAACTCTTTCACGAGGAGCTTTATTATTACTAAGTATAGTCATATAATAGTTCAACAAACTCGGGAAGTATGAATATATCTGTACAGACAAATCCAAATAACTAAGGCTAAGTGTCGTATTTCAATGCTCAAGTCAGGACGTGAGTATGATTTAAAGCACTAGAAATCATACTCAAGTCCTTGCCATTAGGGTCGTATTTCCAGTGCTTGAAATCATACTCAAGTCCTGACTTGAGCATTGAGTAGAGTTCTGATATATGATGAGTTCTGGAATACGACCCTAAGTGTACTAATGTAACGAGTTGGTTCTTACTAATACGTTCGTTTCTACTATGTACCATTAGGCCTAGCCGTCTAACAGCCCTATAAGCCAGGTCAGTCTAATGGTCGTGGGTTCCGACGGCACCTCTGAGTTTTTCTAAGTTTCATTTCAAATTTACCATGAAATTAAAACATATTTATTCTTTTAAAATTAAAAAAATATTTGTCAGAAATTTTTAATTTATTTTAGACACAAATATATAGCAGTGGTCGTCTAATAGGTTGACCTACAAGTAGACCTTGGGTTCGAATCTGGGACCGCACCTCCGAGTGTCTCGCAATTTGAAATTTACCATGAGCTCTCCGTTGAAGGAAAACACCGTGATGTTTGTCGAAGAATGTTCACAATCCTCGAAAAACGTATGAAGTCCCCAACCCGTATTGAGCCAATGAGGCGGACTATGGCCTAAAAAACCCGCGCCTGAGGATTGAATACGTGCCCAGCAGTGGGACGTATAAATGGCTTAATGATGATGATGATGTCTACCCTCACCTTTTCATTTTTGTTGTAGCCTCGCAATGTCGCTAAGACCTTCTTAGCTTCTTTCACTTTTCCTTCCTTCAAATAGAAATATGGGGACTCCGGAATCCAAAAACAAGCAACGAAATAACTGAATGGCATCACCAGTAGTATATAATTCAGAGTCGAAAAGGATAGAAGTGGGCCCACACACATCGTAAGCAAGCAGCCTAAATTGAAGGCGAACTTGGTTAGGAGTTGCAAAGATGCTCTGATATCCTTGTCTGATATTTCAGCAAAGTAGATAGTCATTACCTATAAATTAGACAAACATTAATACATATCAAATCTACTTAATCAACGCATGATAGTTTGATAATAATAAATAAGAGTAAATAAAAAAAATAATATGCAGCTACTTGTTAATAATTAGTCATTTATTTCGACCAACTTGAATCATAGAATTACAAATACAAGAATGGCATAAATAATAAAACAAAATTAGATATAAAATTAAATTAAAATGAATGGATAATAATTACTAGGTATATTTCAAAATTAAAGTACGACTTTTATTTTAGTCAATAGATGAACCATGTCAATGGTTTATGTACTGACATTCAAAATGTTCACTAGACTAATATTGAGATTGAGATACTTACGACACTAAGTATTGCTGTTCCAGCACTCCACAGGAATTGAGTCAGATACAACATCCATGGAGATACTGAAATTGCTGCCATAGTCTACAAAAACGAACAAGAACATAAATGATAGATGGTGAACAAGAAAAACCCTGTGCAGGAAATCCCGTTGACTTGTTTTGCCGTACTCAACGGACCGCTAATGGGTTTGATGTGTATTTATAAAGACAAATTTTGTTTTTAAATTTTTAATCCGATGGCATAAATAAACCACTATTCGGAATTGAACGGGTCTCACCAGTTATGATTATAGTGATGAAAGTTTTGATTTGTTTAAGTGTAATCTGACTTACCATACCCAGCCCATAAGGCAATGCGCTCCAAAGCAAAGTTGAACGACGTCCCAGCTGGTCTAACATAAAGCCGCTCGCGAAACTGCCTGCCATGAAACCTGGAGCTGACATCGATAACATCCATGCTACTTCGTCCTGAAAAAATATTTTTCTATGTTTGTTCCGTATTCAGTCTCTAATATTATGCCATAAAGTAATGAAATCATAATTAAAACCCGTTGTAATTGTACCACTATTTATTCTAACGTAGCCTCCGCCGATAACAACAAACAAGGAACTGGGAGTCGTTCTTTGAAATACAACTAAAATAGTTGTATTTTGTTGTTCAAGTTAAAACGTTCGACCGATACAAATCGCTAGCTTTATAATAACGCAGTATTGCAGAATATTACGAAGTTACTAGCGAAACTTTATAGTGAATGAAATTATCTTGAATCTTATCGTGAATAAATTTACCTTAAATAAAATTATCGTGAACAAAATTAACTTTACCATGAGTAAGCAAATACGTTTTTTGACGTAAGAACAGAGCAAGCCAGTCTGCTCTGTTTGTCGCTGTATGCTTAGTTCAAAATTGTAGTAGTTGGGCAATGTGGCAGACAGCCAAACCAATAAGCTGGTCTCAAACTAGCGAACTCACTGTACTATGAGTACCAATGCAAGGCATTTCACTCTGGGGCACTCCCAGAACACCCAGAACCTTTTTCAGAAAAGATAACGGCCTCAGACTCACAGACTGAGGATCGTATTCTAGAACTCTACTCAATGCTCAAGTCAGGATTTGAGTATGGTTTAAAGCACTCGAAATCATACTCTAGTCCCTGCCATTAGGGTTGTATTTCCAGTGCTTGTGTTTCCAGTGTAATCCTGACTTGAGCATTGAGTAGAGTTCTAGAATACGACGCTGAGACTCACTGTAACAAACTCTATGTTTGTTACACTTTCTCGAAGTCGTAATATGTAACCATTTTAAACTTAAAGAACTTTTATAATTTTACAATAAAATATTTGACATAAAATACAATTCACTACACCACAGACCAGTGTCTGTGCACTACATTTATGGTAACCATAAAAATGGGCATAATTGCCTTTGTTATCTCGCAGAGGGCTGTGGTAACCATTGCACTGCAACATAAAAATAGGCATACTTACCTTTGTTATCTCGATGTTGGTTTCATTGTTCTTCAATTTTGGGATAACAGGTGTGGGCCAAGCTGATGAAAGACCCATTGTTACGGCTGCTACAGATGCTGGAAGAAATTAAAACATATTCATTCTTTTAAAGTTAAAAAAATATTTGTCAGAAATTTTTAATTTATTTTAGACCCAAAGAGTATAGAGTAAATATAAAGCCGTGGTCGTCAAATAGTTTGACCTACCACCTCCCAAGCAGACCGTGAGTCGAAAAAGGGTCATAACCCGCGGATAACGTGTAAAATCGCCAACCAGGATTGAGCCAGCGTTGCGGACTGTGTGACCTAAATCCTAGGACGGCGTGGCCTAAATCCTAGACTGAAAGGAGACCCGTGCCGAGCAGTAAATAAATATACATACGTTGAAACAACATCAAATACGTTGCTCTAATCCTGATCCCAAAATAAAGAACTAAAGCACTTGTGTCATGGAAACCGGAAACAACGACGGTGGGCACAAACATCCAGACCCGAGACAATATAGAAAAGTTCGTTTTTCCACATTGACCCGCCCAGTGATCGAACCCGGGAAATCAGACATGGCAACACCGTGAAAACCGGTGGACAGGTCGCTGGATCACAGCAATCGACGAAAAGCAGTGGGGCGTATAAATAGGTTCATGAAGATGACACAAGCAGAATAATTCAAGTCAACGATTATTTATTCATAAAACAATTATTTATCCATATAATGAATTACTCAAGAAACAAAACAATGAAACAAGAGACATTAACAAGTAATATAGTAGTAAATAAGAAAGTACCAACCGCACACTAATCACCATGAGAATTAATTCCTTTTGCTACTAAACCCGAGGGATGAACTCCGATAAAAAGAAATTTAAAAATCGTATACATCATTTACTAGAGTTACTGTTTAATTACTGGTCCTAGAGCCAAACACACGCACGAATAATATTAGATAGATTAGATTTTTACCTAATGAATATGGAACCAGTCACCGTGTTATGATGAGTAAGCATTCTCCAATAAGTACTTACCACATAGTGTAACGAGATACTGAACTTTCCTGTTACCCTTCTCCATGGTCTAAAAAAACAAATAAACATAATTACAAAAATGTTATTGTATGCGAGATCCTGAAAACAACTACACAGTAAAACAACTCAAATAATTATTGGCTTGTTTGATACTTTGATTTAAATCGGGCGTTGCAGCGTGCACTCTGTCGTGAAGTCTCCCCACACGACGGATCATTCTTTCCTGTATTTGTGATGCACCCTAAGCAACAACCAGCGAGTTCCTTACGACGATTGGCATATCCTTTTACCACAGTGGCCAGTATTATAGTATGTATGCCATTGATACGATAAGAAGAAGAAGCATGCACACTATCGAGGCAGTCTTCTTCTTATTGGCATAAAACTTACCATAAGTCAGTGATCGCGGTGAAAAAATTTGCCAATAGGCGTAAGGTTTTTTTTTTATAATATCAAGTGACAGGACGAACATGTCGTGCGCCTGCCGTGCCACACGTGCCACACGTGCTTTCAATCGCAAAGATCTGACATACATTGACAAGTACCATGTGCCTGTAATGTCACCGGCACCCTAACCCTTCGAAACCGAAACACAGTAATAATGACATTACTGCTTGGCGGCAGAAGTAGGTACCCGCGGATTGTTACCCAGGATGCGCCAGAGGCACAGGAGAATAGTAAAAGAATGGTATGTCGTACGGGGAGGCTCCTTTCGTGAACCCTATGCCAGCCAGCAGTATCTATGTGGTATATAAATGAAAAAATATTTACATTACCTACAGTACGTCTATGTCGCAGCTGTAATATACTTACTTATTGTGCTGCCTATTGTTTTCTTAAAATGTTAAAATAAGCATATTTTCCTGTAATACTAGCATAAGTACATTGTGTCAACAAACACAAATTGTGATAGTTCATATGCTCATTCATGCCAGTTTATTTAATTCTAACCATTATTCTTTGCTTATCAAAAGTAGGTATACCAGTGGTATACCATGTTAACAATGGTTATGCATCATAGTTAAATTTAAAACGAATACCATATCCTGCGTATTTAGTAACAAAACAAAACGAAAACATGACATAAGTTGTCTCGTTATATTATTATTAAATATACCTAAGACGTTTACAAGCTCCTTTAAAGTAAATAAGCGGTTGTTTTATTTCCTAGGGACTAAAAATATGGTAGCACCAAAACTCAGAAAACGCCATCATTCTGCTCACTTAAACCATCGCTCACTGTGTAAAAAGTGACTACAAATGTATCCGAGGACAGGCCTTGGACTTGTTCACAAGCTATTTCATAACTTGCAGGCAATTTGTAAAGCTCGATACTTGGAACACCGACACAACAGTGATCTTTGGCGTACCCCAAAAAACTGCCCTCGAAGTTGTTCTTAATTTGAAACCATTTACAATAATAACGACTAATGAGTTTTGTAGAAGATACGGCGATTATTTTCAAAAAAAATATTAGACCGGTATTATGCAGAAGAATTAATTAATTTATTATTGACTGGCTTTAGCTGACTCTGAACACCGCAAAGACAAAATTAGTGTTTCCAAGTAAGTGCGTAGACAAGCCGCACAATATGAGAAGCCTGAGGAAGGAGAACCTATGTTCATATACACCAATAGAACGCTGCAATCAAAAGTACATTGGGATTGAAATTTGAATGGAATTGATTTGGAAGGATCTCAACTGCAAACCCCATACAAAGTCATTACTGGCTAGTTGGACTTGATCTAGATAACTACTTCATATCTTAAAAGAACAAAAGTACAGCTTGATGTGCTGTTGAATGTACTTTTGATGATAAGGGAACTATTTTTGTGCGTCAGGATTCCGTTAATTGCCTTATCAAATTCACAAAGTCAATAATAAATGAAGTATACATACACACAAAACTCAGTGTTAACGTTTGATAACGTCCTATATGTACGCTGAATCTAGAGTCCAAATTTAAGTAAACAAATTTCAAAATACTGTTAAATAATTCTCAAAAGTTGTTAAAGTTACTTTGATGTAATAGTATATATTAATGGCATTAGAGCCCGTCCAGTGAAGTTCTGCCACCGTAATGTGAACATTACTGGATCCCGGTTTGAAAGGGTAAGGGTGCTGGAGGCATTACAGGCACATGAGACTTGTCTACTTATGTCTCAGGTTGACAGGCGCACTAGCAGTGCCCCTAAGATCTTTGCGAAGTAAAATACTGAGTGGCACTGCAACTGTTATGGATAGGCGTGTCGCTTACCACCAGGTTCACGATTTGGTTGTCCCGTCACTTAGTGCCATATAATCTCAGTAAAGAATTGCCACCGTTAGCGATTCAATATTTTCTTAAAATTTAAATGGGACCACAACTGAGGTACACTCTTTCCAAAAAAAAAAGAATCATCAAAATCGGTTCACTAACTTTGAGTTATCGTGTAACACACAAAAAAAAGAAAAAACATATAATCGAATTGAGACTCGCCTCCTTTTTTTGAAGCCGGTTAAAAATATCTGTGAAAACCATACACACCGGGAAATAGGGAATAAAATGGCTCACCTCACTTAAAATAATTTAAGTACGAACAGTGGATATTTTAAAACTATTTCTTACCTCGAAAAAACAACTGATAGGTATATCAATTACCAATCAACACATTTCAGAAAGGCGTTCTATCTTAATAATCAGTTTAAAACAAAATTATGGTACACCAACTCAGTCAAACAAACAAAACAAATAACAGTAATAACACCGCTTTTTAGAGAGAAGCTGATTGTGCCTGCGACGCGACGTGTGGTTTGCAAACTGAATGTAACTGACTTGTGAACTAGGCAACTAAAGCGAATAGAACACGTGTGCCAATCTATATCAATGTAAATAAAAAGTAGGAACTCACTTCCAGGAACATTCACTACCGGTGCGATTAATATTAATAATACATCATAAGTTATGATGACTGATATGTTATTATGATTCATAACTCTACGGCGATATGTCACCAAATCATACAGGCCTACCACAATTTAAAACTAAGACCACAGCGACCCTGCCGCTCTTGTAACATCTGTAAGGGAGCAGTCCTTACAGATGTTACAAGAGCAGTGCACACATGCTTGGGAATTTACCGTCTCGAACACTTCAATCCGGGGGTTTATGTTCAGGCGACAAAGTATAATGCAGTTAATGTTACTAAAACAGAACAATAAATACATGCTTTGATGTGTTTTGTAAAGTGTTCGTAACATTAACATAAAGTGATTATTATAGGTAATATGGAGTGTCATTAAATTTCATTTACATTTAAGGCAAGGTTGAACTCGAACCTAGATTTTTGGAAGTGAGGTGACGTGGGGGGCCATCGCGTCCTGCAAACCGCACGCAGGAAATTAATATGATTAAAATAAGAACCAGGAGAAAATTTGATATAAATCCCGCGTTGACAAGCGCCCGATGGCGACTGGCGGGGCAGCAGGCGTCGTGGCTTATCGTGAAACCGCTGGACAATTTTTAAGTTTTAAGATAAGGTGAATTATATATATATTTTACGCGATTACTCCGACATTTTATATATATTTATATATATAAAATGTCAGAGTAATCGCGTAAAATACCCAAAAATATACGAGACACAGAAGCGGGAAAAATTGTTTTGCTAGATCAAATATTTTAGTTATTTACTGTTAAACAACGGTCTTATAAAAAATATACGATACACCTATGGACGTTGTCTAAAGAATGTGCTAATTTGTTACACGATAGGATATACTTTACCCGATCATATAAAATCCTGAAAACGGGCTAACATAAAAGGCTAAAACGAATTATTTAAGATTAAAATATCTAACTATGACTTTGCACATAATTTTTATATGGAGACATTTATTTAGGTACTACAGAGAACCTCTAAATTTTGGTTTTCAACAGAAGCTATATATATATATATATATATTATATATATATATAACTATATATATATATATAACTGTTATATATACTTGCCAATAACGTTCAAGTCCGCCGCGGTGAACTTTTTTTCTATTTACTCTAGTGCGGTACCTCGAATCACCTTCAAATTTTTGGTAGTATTTCTCAATATAACTGGTATTCACTTGAAATTAACGGACATCCCTACCAAACCAAGATAAAACAGAAAATAAATGTCAAAATTACAACTTGTGACGCGATTGTTGACATTGAGTTTTAGCGTGTTGCTGAAGATTTCGACTGTAATGCCTGCCATTAGGTACTATTTATTTTTGCAATTATTACCTATCAAAATGATCGTCAGGATGTGCTTTTTCCGATGGTGTTAAAACTTTAACATTTGATATCATATTGGAATCACAATCTTATTGGGAAAAAGGTCATCAAAGCGAAGGTCATTGCACCTTGTGATTGTTTTTTAGAAAAAAAACTTATTCATTAATAAAATACTTTTTGGAGTAAAATATCACTCAAACCTTAGAGGATGGAAAAAAATAAAAACTCAAACACATTATATAATTGAATTTGAAGAATTATATAAATAAATATAATTCGTTATGTCCTCATAACGAAATATATGAGCCTTCCGTAATGCGTTTCAGTCATTGTTGAGGAGACCGCGAACACAAAACTCGGCTAAAGAGGACAAGCAATTTTTGAGGTCGGTTTTTGTTTTGTACTTAGAATATTATTATTCTAAGGTTTTGTGTATAAAAATTATAATTATTTGATTTCTGATACTCATTAATGTCTCGACAATGGTAAGAGCCACTAAATACTAACATCTCCTGTGTAGTTTGTAGTAGAACAGTCACGTGCAATAATGTATATTTAAGTAGAGAAATTTGATTGCATTATGAAAAGAGTACAATTAAATATAACTTAGATTTCGTTATTCAATAACACTTGGTTTAACATAACGTAATGTTTGTTTATGTAATATATGTACTATAGGTATATAATATAATAAGCTTTTGTTGTTTTATTTAAAAACACCGTACACTGTTATTATAATACATGTGACGCAACTTAGAGTAGGTAAATATTACTTATTTATAGATATAGTCAACAGAACATCAAGCTATACACTTTTGTTCGAATATCACCTCCAGTGCAACGAAACAAGATCCAACGTGTAGCTTGATATGTTGCCGTCTTTATATTAGGCACCTCACTTGCAAATTGAATTTTATTACTAGAATGACTAGTCTATAAAATCAATATTCATAATCATTACTTTTCATCAGTCTTGTTAGTACCGGCCACGAACATACACTAAAGACGCCATGTTTATGTTCTTAATTTAAATATTCACGAACAGAAGAATGTGATTCCAAGAACATGAACAAGTGTAATGTTTACTACGTTCTTGGAAATTCTGAACAACGGTTTTTTGTTTACTTTGTTTAAATAAGTAGAACTGAGAATAGAAAATGTTTGGACTTTACATGTAACAAAAAACATACTTACAATAAAAGAGTAATTTAACGTATAAAACTTAGAATAATAAGAATAAAGTATTTTTTATTCCGACAAATCAAACAATTATAATGGGGGTCCGAGCAATAAAAGGCAGTAGGTAAGTATGTAGGTATCTACTTTTTTCTCCTTACTTCTCAGAGAAGTCGGTTTTTTTTCACGTAGGTACGTACGAAGTTCGAAATAAAACAATGAAGTCTCACCTCTGCGACACAATAGTATAAATTAATTCTAAAAAACTCCTCTCATTTCACACGTATTCACTAGCCTTAATGTAAAGCTAAATAATTTGTTTGCGACTTTGATAGGGCTGTTGCCCTGCCCGCAATAAAACCTAACCTAAAAAATATGTGCAAAACGTAGTACAGGCAAAGTTAGCGCTGAATGAAGCTGCTTATGTTTTCACGTATAAGGAACTCTGTTCTCAGATATTACTATACATCTATTACAGTTAGGTATTTTCTGGTCAATTTTCGCTGCCTAATTTAGGTGGCAATTTTTAGTATTATTTAAGTATTCGAGATCGTCAAATATTAAATAATATTTCAGGATACTACACTACAATAATAAAAATTGCCACCGTAATCAGGTAAAAAAAAAATAGTAACCTTTGATTTTCAACACTGAATTTGCTAGTTTCTTTTAGTATGTGTTAATTTTATTGTAAATGTAATTGTTTTATATGTATTATGTAGCTGTAATTGTTTTGCGTATTTTTCTATACTACTTATACTTAAGTTAGCGAACTAGTATAGGCTGCTCTCTTTCGCAATACTCCATAAAAATAACATACAAGGACATTAATAGATGCTTATGTGTAAGCAGGCGTTAACAAGCTTTAAAATAGTAAGGTCTCGTGCACAAAGGTCTTAAAAACAAAAAAACATATTTTCAAGAAAGTCAAAGTCGCAGGCAAAGAGTCACACATGGGTAGTAACTACCAAATAGAAAAAACAACGCGCATCATGTGAGAGCCAACCGGAGCAACTGATTATTATATCTTGTCTTTAAATGCGGCTTTATTAGTTTATCTCTAAGCAATCACGTGCGACTGTTTTCTCAGTACTAGGTCGCTAACTTAAATAAGGTATAATAGATATATTATGTACATATTTTTATACGTTTGTTGCGGTAAAAAAATCATAAACGAAATAAAAACCTACCTATTTTATTTGATATTAATAATTTGTTATTATTAGATAAATATCTACCTCAATTAGATACTACTTTTTAATGAAATAGTTAAAAAGTTAGACCAAACTTACGGGAAATAAATGTGCGTGGCAGACCAGCATGGTAAGCTTTCGGCCACAGAGGCAGTAAAAAAAAACTTAGTAAAAGTTGTATTATACATGCTGTTAAATAAAGCTTAATTATACCTTGAGGTGGAAGAAGTATTAGGTTTTTCTAGAACTTCCAAAGGAAATATTATCGGTAAGAATACACAGTGTTATGACAGGAAAACACAAACGAGAAATATACCATTTTTTAATAAATAATTTTGATTTGCCTACTTAATATGTAGAGTTTGGCTCTACATTCAAAGTAGCCAACTACTTCTTCTATCAAATTATTATAAAACATGTGCAACTGCGGTCGGATAGCGCTATCCACCACGTAGGCAGGAGACTATATATACAAAGTACTTTGTGCAGGAGACTGCTCACATACTAGCCTGCGTATGGTCCACGTATGGAGTCTCGCAGGACGCATTTCAGGGTGGCTTACACTCTATACTACATTCTTAATCCTCCATCCATTACGCGGCGAACGGCTAGCTAGGCGGATTGCAATGCAGGATAATGAATTGAATTGAATACCCGTGGAATGCCCCCTTTAAGGTGCTAACTTTGTGTTTTATTTTTTTGTGCATCGCTTTTATGGCATCGGACTAATTCTATTAATCAAAATATTTGAGTGACACATTATTCTATATATCTAGTCTATGGCCAATAGGCAAGTCTGTTGTCTTTGGTAGACTTGGTAGAAAGTGTCGTGTGGCATTCATACAGTTCTGTCGAAAAAATACTAAGTTTCTACACTTATTATCGATTTTATTGTAATGTCAGAACACGTGCTACCGGCCGAAGAGCCGGTGAGGTTCATCGCGCCAATAATTCAAGACAACCTGACAGGATGGGGGCCTTGCGAAATGCCGGAACAATTTCGTGACATGCCCTATCAACCCTTCAGTAAAGGCGATCGCTTGGGTAAAATAAGCGATTGGACTGTCATACAAGACAAGAAATACCAGAGTAAGAAATCAACACTTACGTTTTGACTATAAGTATAAAATATTTGTCTTTTATCTGATCATATTTGAGGTTATCCCGAAGTTTTTAATAATTATTGTCCAACCCAAAAACCCATGCCAAAGAAACACTTTTATAATACTACATGTAAGAATAAACTCGGATGTGTACACTACGATAGATTTCCCTGCAACGTCGCATTACAGAACTATCTAGTGGTATTATAACTTCTTGATATAACACCAGCTGGCTTAAATATGCTGACGTTGATGTGTTAGCACATGTAATAATAATAATACACTCACAGCCTCGCACTAAGGAAACCCTGTGTCGCGGGTGCCATGGGCATACATATAGACAACCACAAATTACACCCAAACTCACGTGATAAATACATGTAGGCCATACAAATATTTCTTCCTGTGCGAGAATAAAACCCAGGATCTCAGTGTGGTAACCGTTCAGCCACAGAGGCAGTTCATTTAATATGAGATACTATAGCTATATATATATCTAGTTTATGTGACGTCTCTATTACAAACCCTTAATATTAATATGAAATAAAATTACAGACAAGTACGCATCTCAATTCGGCGCTGGATCGTCATATGCGTACTACCACGATGAAGATGAGTCAACATTTCACTTGGTGGATACAACTCGCATTCAGAAGCCCCCGTACCAGCGCGGGCGCGCCCGGGGGCAACGCGGACGTGGCGCGAGGGGTGCACGTACTCCAGGCGGTATGACTACTTTAAGCAAGGTAACAAATTTACTAACCGAGCAGCCAGGACTCAATCACATCATTAGAATTCATGTGGACGATTAGTATATTGTAAGTTGAAATACTAAATCACTGGTATTCTCATCTCATAAACCAGTTTATAGTTCCTTATACATTAAAAGATATAATATGAAGGTGAAATAACATCTACATTATCATGTTTAATGTTAAAGAGTGACCATAAAAACAAAGACTTTGTTGAATAATCCCTTGTTATATTTGTGTTGATACTATAATAGCTCAATTGTTTTTCTATTTTCATTTTATTTTACTTGTTAAATTTGTTATTAGCAACGTGACCGTAAAATGGGCAAGAGATGGGGCCAGCGTGGTGCTCCAATGAAAATTCGGGATGCATCGGTCACTGTACGACCCACTTGGGTTACCATTGAGGACATGGACTTCCCTCGACTTGCTAAACTCTCTTTACCTGGAATTAAAGAAGGTATCTACTTAAAATAATGTAATAGTATGTCAGCTGCTCTACACATAATGTGTAGTACAGTAGAAATAATTCACGCACACTGTAATTGCTAAATAGCAATAAAATACAATCAGATAAAATAATATTTTTTTTATAAAATAACTACTTTTTACACTAGGACGAATAAATGCTATGTTGAGTGTGTGCGTTAATTAAGCAGCCACTTAGGCATTTTAAGAAAATTTTAAAACTATATCAACCTTTTCAGGCGAAGACATTGCATGCTGTGGTACTCTCGAGTACTACGACAAGGCTTATGACCGTGTCAATGTCAAACATGAGAAGGCACTGCAGCGTATTGATCGTATTTTCCATACGGTGAGTGTAAAGTTCAATAAGATGGAGAAGTACTTAAATATACAACTACAGAACTTTACTCAATCAGTATAACATGTATAGGAAACCATGCTTTAATCGAATTTAATTAGTTTATGTTATAAATTAAAAAAGTATTTTCAAAGAAAACACTGTTTTTCTATTCCTACTATACAATCAGCCATAGGCTTATCAACATAATTATGCGCTCTAGATTGCAGAATCTAGGTCCCAGGTTCGATTCCCATGATGGGAGAAATATTTTTATGGCCTACATTTATTTCTCTCGTGAGATTGGGTGTAATTTGTGGTTGTCTATGTGTGTGCCCATGGCACCCGCGACACAGGGTTTCCCTAGTGCAAGGCTATGTTGAGTGTGTGCATTATTTATTATTATTATTCTGTATGTCTTTGTTATTGTGTTTGTATTTCATAAACTGTCATACAAAGCATTGCATATAACTAATTAGTCAGGTCCATGTTGGAGAAGAGTAGCTCTTGATGGAGCGCACTGCAAAGATCTGGAGAACGCCTATGCCAAGAAGCACGCTTAGTTAAGAGATATAATGTAAAAATTTTAAATAAGACTAATTTAAAAAGTATTTGTAACTCACATTAAAAGGCTTAATAAGTAAATAATAAAAATAAATTAATCATAATCCCTTATCAGGTGACAACTACTGATGACCCTGTGATTCGACGCCTCAGTAAGACGACCGGTACGGTATACGCGACAGACACCATTCTCGCCACCATCATGTGCTGCACACGCTCCAACTATTCATGGGACATTGTCATTGAGAAGATTGGTAAGTTATTATAATTATAGATTAATACAAATATCAAACATAAAAGAAAAATTCCTTCAACCTGAGAGGACTCGAACCTGTGTCTGTGACAAGCCAATGGTCCTGGTTCTAACAAACCAATGAAGTAATTTCACAAAAAATATATTGACACGGGAAAGGTATAGTCTAATGTGCATTTGGAAAATATTACAGGAGAGCGATTTAATGTACTGGTTTGAAGAAAAAAAAACCAGAACTTTAATTTTACTTCAAATTTTCGATGTAAAGTCAAAGTCAAAGATTATTTATTCCATAGGTAAAATAAATTTACACTTGAAAACGTCACATTTAAGCTACTGCTCGTTCACTACGCTGACCTCCATGAGAAGAACGAGCAAGAAACTCTAGGGATTGCTCTTTTCAAATAAACTTAA